CACATCTGTCTAGAGGGACAGAAAGGGCTGGGGTTGTTGAAGGGGATTCCCTTGCACACCTCCTGTGGGTTGAGCCACCAGTGGAAAGATTCGAGAACCGGCACCAGGAGGGTGATCACCTTGTCCAGGCTGTTGTGCCCTGGACAGTAGGGTGACGACAGCCAAGCTTGGAGAGGCCTGAGCCTCACGAGCTGTACCACATACATACATGCTGCCATGTGGCCAAGGCGCCTCAAGCAACCCCTTGCTGAGGTAGTAGGGTACCGCCTGAGGCTTTGTATGATGTCTGTCATTGACCAAAAGCGAGCCTCTGGCTCGGATGCCCTAGCCTGACCCGAGTCCAACACTGCTCCGATAAAATCTATCCTCTGTGTCGGGTATAGGGTTGATTTGTGCTCGTTGAGCAGGAGACCCAACCTGTCAAAGGTGGAACTTACAAAGCTGACTTATCACTCCACTTGGTCCCTGGAACGCCCCCTGAGCAGCCAGTCATCGAGGTACGGGTAAACCTGCACCTGCCTCTGGTGTAGGAAGGCGGCTACGACCGACATGCACTGCACTTGGTGAACACTCATGGGGCCGTTCACAGGCCAAAGGGGAGGACCGTAAATTGGTAATGGTTGTGACTGACCATGAACATGAAGATTCATCTGTGGGCAAGAATTATAGAGATGTGGAAATACACGTCCCTGAGGTCGAAGGTGGCGTACCAATCTCTCGGATCCAGAGAGGGGATAATCATGCTTAGAGAGACCAGGCGGACACTCAACTTTCTCATGAAACTATTGAGGCCTCACAGATCACGGATGGGTCTGAGACTCCCCTTGGCTTTGGAGATTAGGAAATAATGGGAATAGAATCCCTTGCCCCTTATCTCCTGAGGAACCTCCTCCATTGCTCCCGCAGTGAGGAGCGTTTGAATCTCCTGTATGAGATTCTCGTGACAAGGGTCCCTGAGGAGGGACGGGGAAGGGGGCTGGGAGAGAGGGGAGGAGCAGAATTGGAGAGAATAACCCATTTCCACCATGCAAAGGGCCCAGCGTTCTGAATCTGTGACCAACCACGATAGAACTGGGACAGATGGTTGAGAAAACAGGGAGAAGGATCCAGTATGCAGATCGGTGCGTCGCCCCCAGACATGCCTTCAAAAGGCTTGCTTAGAGCCTGACGATGGCCTTGTCAAGCCCTGGCCCTGGCCGGGAGGAGGATGGGGAGGCTTGTGCCTGCCATTCCTGCCCTGCTTCCTGGAGAAGTCCTGCCTGTGCCGGGAGGTTAGAAACGCTGTTGGGGCTGTGGTTTAAAATGTTTCCACTGGGTGGCAGGGGTATGCATGCCGAACGATTTCAGCATCACCCATGAATCGTTTAGGCTGTGAAGCCTGGAGTCTGTTTGCTCCACAAATTAAAATTCTATCTGATGAGGATTGCTTACTGGTTAGCAATCCTCAGATGGAGCCCTCTAGTCAAGTAGACCTTCCAGACAAAGAGGTCCATCTGTTTGGAGTCTTTCGACTTGGGAGCTGGGCCCTGTTGCACGTCTCTCTCTCTTGTTTACTGCCACCACTAGCGAGCAGGGCTGCAGGTGAAAGAATAAGTACTCATACCCTTTAGTGGGTATGAAATATTTCCTCTCCACGCCCTTGGCTGTCAGGGGGATGGAGGCAGGGGTTTGCCACAGAGATTTTGTAGTGGTTTGAATGGTCTTTATGAGGGGGAGTGCTACCCTGGATGGCCCTTCAAGATTTAAAATGTCTACCATCGGGTCCTCCAACTCGACCACCTCTTCAGCCTGGAGCCCCATATTGCGGGCGATCCTGTGTAGCAGGTCCTCGTGCGCCTTGTTAGCGATAGGGGGCAGCCCGGAGGGGGAAGACCCTGCTACTGCTTCATTTGGCGATGACGACGATCAAGCTAGAGGCAGCACCGGGCCCTTGTGGCCCTCCTGCTCCCTGGAGGCATCCTGCTTGGCGCCGTGACTTTCGGTGACGACTGCAGCCTCGGTGCCAGTGGGTGCAGGAGCTGGACCCGGCTCTGCACCGCGAAAGGACACTGTATCAGAGCCCCAAGGTGTGGGGTGGTCCCTGGCTGACGGAGGTGCATGTCCTTCTGAGGCCACAGACTGGGAACCCCTGGAGACTGTGCCCTGGGCCTGGTGGTAGGCCCATGGGGTCCAAAATGGCCATTGTGTGGGTCCCTGCCACTGCACCTGGCACAGCACCATCCTGGCATCCTGTCTGTGCCGGTCCGACCAGTGCCAACTGGGTCTTGAATAGTTGGACTCCGCCTCCAAGTCCGATGACTGAGACCTGGAGCATGAAGACCACGGCGGTGCCAAGGGGGATGGTGACAGAGAGCAGTGCCACATGGTCAGTGCTGGAGAACGGTGCTGTGTGGATGGAGCTGGGGAATGGTGCCGCTGGGCCAGTGTCAGGGAACGGTGTGGCGGAGAGCAATGCCTCGGGGAAGGCGGACGCCTCATCGTAGCAAGTTTGCCTTTAGACGGTGCGGCGCGCTGCGGTGCAGGAGGCCCATCCCAGCTGGCGGGGGACTGCAGAGCCAACATGGCAATCAAGTCCCTTGCGGCCTTGAAAGTGTCCGGAGTGGAAGGGAGTTCTAGCTCCTTCACCTGGCACTCATGGTCAGAAGAGTCCACTGGCACCAGACTTGACAGCCCCTGTTGAGGGACCCAAAGTCAACAGCACTGGCTCCTGTGTTGATGGTGCTGGGAGCTCCTGCGCAGGATGCACTCCAGCAGCACTGTCCGACCCAGCAGCTTTCAGCGTGGGTGAGAGCCCCCTGCCTGTTTCCTTATGCTGCTTATGTGGCACCGGGGAGTGTGAGCGGTGTCACGCTGCTTCTACAGGCTTCGGTGCTGGGGAGCACCGGTGCCAAGGGTCTCTATGGCCACAGTCCTTCCTCGGCACTGTAACATGTACGGAGGCTGGAGCACTCCGCAAGGACGTGCTCGGTGCCAGATCCTGCCGGCCCGGGGCCGGTTGGGGACAAAGGTCTGCTTCCATCTGGATCTGCTTTAGCCTGAAGTCCTGCTCTTTCTTCATCTTCGGGCGGAACCTTTCACAAATCTTGCACCGGTCTATTTGGTGCACCTCCCCCAGACACTTGAGGCAAGAGTCATGGGGGTTGCCCATTGGCATAGCCTTGTGGCAGGTTCTGCAGGGTTTAAATCCTTTGGATCGAGGCATGCCCCGAAGCCCAAAGGTGGAAAAGAAGGATTTGTGGTGGGGGAAATCCCCACTCCTACTAACACAAACTAGCTATAACTATAACTACAGAAGTGACTATGAAAACAAACTATGAAGACATGGGGAAGCACTTGCGAAAGCAAGCGACTGGAGTTCCAACAACCATCACTGGTGGTAAGAAGGAACTGAAGAGGCAGCAGGTCGACAGGGACCTATATTCACTGCCATGAAGATGCCACTCTAGGGGGCTCCACAGCCAACCTGACTGGTGCTGCTAGGGGAAAAATCTTCCAAAGACTGTGAACATGGCGCACACATACCTAATGGGAATTGACATGAGCAAGCACACGAAGAAGGAGGATTATTTCTGGTCACCATGCCCTTCAAGGTTTTAGAACTAGTAGATCTCACCTCTCATACCTTGTTTTTATTCATAGATTGGAAGAGGGAAACAAGCTTACCTATCAATTCCCAGACAGTTACTCAAGTCTGAATGAAACACTGAACTAGCTGAATAAACTGAAATGAAGAGTTTTAAAGCGTTTGAAAAGAGGTTGCTGCTGTCAAAATCTGGTTTTACACTTCAACAAACTCTCATTTCAGGTGCTTAGCCAGTGTCTTCCCGAAGATCGACAGTTAGAATTTCTTTAAAATTTCAGCAGCATTAATTTTTAAATTTAAATTATTTTAACACATTATAGTAAAGTCAGGCCTTAACACAGGTTGTTATAATTTCATATTTAATTTTAAGTAGGCTTATTTTTAGAAAGAAAAATGTATTTAAATTAAAATGGGCTTTTTAAAATCATCATTTTTTGTTCACTCTGCTTGCCAAAAGATCCTACATCTGTAGAAAGAAGTCAGCTGCAGACAGAGTAAAAGATACAAAAGGTATTTTGGATGCCAAATCCCTTTTTTATCTGGGGTCAGTGTTGACAAAGGTATGTCTACACTATGGAGATTATACTGGTAGAGCTATGTCAGCATAGCAAAGCCAGCATAAACTGTAGTGTAGACACAGTCTACATGGATGGAAGACGGTTTAGGGGACCAGTGTAGGAATACCACCTTTCCAAACAGCAGCAGCTACGTTGACAAAAGCATTCCTGTCAAAATAGTTGCATCTACACTGGAGGTTAGGTTGGCATAGCTTGTTCACAGCCCTGACCAACTCAGCTATGTCAACCTCACTTTTAAGCACAGACCAAGCCTAAATATAGTGACTGCAGCAGAGCCAGCGCTATGAGTCAGAGATCTACTCAGTACCACTCTAAATGGAATGAAAGAAATTCTGCATTTCTGATGGTACTCTTAAAATACAATAGCTGAGAGAACTTGAAGCCATTTCAGACTTAAGCTAGGGGCACACACTCTTTTTCTAAGGCCCGCCCTACTTTTAATTAAGTGGACATAGCTACGGCTGAAAAATGCACAACCTGGAGGGACTTAGCTATGCTAACCTAAAGCCCGGCATAGCTGCAGCTAGGTGGACAGAAGGTAGTCACCGAGTGACGGCTGCTTGGGGAGGTGGATTACCTACAGCAACAGAAAAACCCCTTTTGTTACCGTCAGAAATGTCTATGCTTCTGTGCTACAGCAGCATCGCTACGGTGCTGTAGCTATGCCACTGTAGCACCCATAACGTAGACGTGGCCTATATAAGATCAGTTGAAAGGATGAAATTCTTTCACCCCGAGTACGTTAAAGCTTCTGACATCTAAGTTTCTCACGTTTTCAGATTTAAACCTACATTTATCACTACTTTGCAGAACATTAGAGAAGACATTTCTGCAAGTACCTGTCCCAGGGTACACTCAACCCCTCCAAGGTAATCATCATCATTTAAGTCAAAGGACTTGTTATCGATATCATATACGCCAAACTTCAGCTTCTGCACTTTCTCAAAGTAATAATCAATGAGCAGCTTCTTGGAGAATTCAGGCTTCTGGCAGTTCTTTATCTTTTCAGTTCGATCCAACTATGCAAAGAAAGAGATGGAGATGATCACTATAGATAATCATATTAACCACACTTTCCACAAAACTCTTTATGTCCCTCACCCTCAAACACTTCTTCATTGGCCTTTATATGCACCGTATCTGAGGGTCTAGGCTGCTAAATCTAGCCACTGCCACAGGGCCTGCTGACCGCTCTGCAACTTTGTACTCCCTGAATTTTAGTAAAGAAATTATATAATCAATTACCACTAAATCTGGTTTAGAGATAATCTGACATTTGAGGAAAAAAGACACTGACATACTCTGTCAGGGGTTCTCAGGACAAATTATTTGGTGGCCTCAGAGTGCAGCCACCAGCTCTTGCTCATGGCCGCTCTCACACTTTTTCCTAAAATATTTAATTAGCTTTAGGAAAAATAAATAAATATGCATATCCAAATCACTGTAATTTATTTATTGCTAGCTGCTAAGTCTGCTGTGAAAAGCGACATTAAACATACAAGTATCACTTTTCACAGCAGACTTACTCAGCCCCACAAGTCTGGGGACAAATTAAGCCCTAGATGGGGGATCATGGGAGGCAGCAGGGGCTATGGACAATGGCACGGGGGGAAGGGGGGGGCGGTTTGGCAGTGCAGGGCTGAAGCCTGAAGCCCCGCGGGAAACGGAACCCAAAGCCATGTGGCAGGAGCCCGAAGCCAGAGCCTGCCTCCCTGCCACCCCCCCGGCTGAAAGTAAAAGCCTGAGCCCCACCACCCGTGGAAAGGTGGGGAACTCACCAGGTGTCTCCAGAGTGGGGCAGGGCCCAACCCCTGCTGGAAGCCCCAGCAACTAACACCAAAGCTGTGCAACCTGGAGCACCAGGGAAGGGGAGGGACTGATGCCCCTCCCCATCACAGCTCAGGAGGCTGTGGCAGCAAGAAAAGCCCCTGGTGGCCACATTTGAGAAACACTGTACAATGTGTTGACTGCCCACCTCACAGGGAAAAAGCAGCAGCACATGGCACATCATAACAGAAAAACAAACATTCCTGTTGTTTCTTTAAGTTGATAAGCAAACGATTCTTACTCCATCACACTCAAGAGACATGAACTTTAAAAGTCACAAAATTTTTGACCAAATATTAATTTGTAAATATTTGCAGGATTTAATTAAGCAAATTACGCAATTACTAGGAAGAATAATAACTGGAAATATTTACAGTTAGGTCATGTTCTGAAAATATGTATTTCTGTATGATAATGCAAAACTGGAGATTATAAGCTACTTTTTACCTCTGCCCATTGATCACCGCCCACATTTTGGAGTAAGACACACAGAGGGTCAGATTTTGAACCAACATCTTTGTCAATGAGATTCTCACAGGATATGGACAATTCCACCTTAGTCACACACTGAGCCATCTGCGGAAGAGAGTTCAGAAAAAGAATAAATGCAAATGTTGATAAAGTACTTTTCAATAAAACCATGTCCCTCACATTGATAACAGTGACACCTAGCAAGCCACACAACACAGCAAACAGAACCTTAGTAGGATAAATACACCTCAGCAAGAGGATGCTTGGGAGCATCTCCCAAGAATTTCTCTTATGAAGCTCACAAGTTTATTCTCAATTCCAGTGTTTATATTCTGGGTATTTCTAAAACAAGGATTCCATTTAATTCTTGAAAATTGTACACAAGGCTTGAAATACACAGCCATGTAGAAAGATTAATTTAGGAAGTCCGGGATGCACACTTTAACACACTTGAAACTTCCTTCACCAAATAATAGCACTCCACCAGAGAAGTAGATCGCATCATGGAACAGACCACCCAAATACCCCGAGAGAATCTGCCTGAACTCCCTCCATTGCACATCCCTAGTTCTCATCTACGACCCTACAACGAAACCCATTCAGGGTATCATTAAACAGTTACAATCCATACTCAATGGGGATCACATCTTGATAGAAATCTTTCCTGAACTCCCTCTTCTGGCCTTCAAAAAAAACCCCAACTTCACCAAGCTCATCATCAGAAGCAAGCTCCCCACAGACACACCAACTCAAAGAGGTACCAGACCCTGCCAGAACAGATACAAAACCTCCAGACATATCTCAACTGCTATAATGATCAATACCCCACACATCACACCTTTCAATATTTGTGGGTTCTACACATGCCTATCACAACACTGTCATGGGTGCACAGGTTCAGCGCTCTGAAACCACTGTGAATAGGGTTGCCAACTTTCTAATTGCACAAAACAGAACACTCTTGCCCTGCCCCCTGCCCTGCCCCGCCCCTTCCCTGAGGCCCCGTCCCCACTCACTCTAGCCCCCCTCCTTCCATCGCTCGGTCTCCCGCACCCTCACTCACTTTCACTGAGCTGGGGAAGGAGTGCAGGAGCAGGTGAGGGCTCCAGGTGGCGGTGCGGGCTCTGGGGTAGGGCCAGAAATGAGGGGTTCAGGGTGTGGGAGGGGGCTCCGGGCTGGGGCAGGGGGTGCAGGTTCCAGCTGGGAGTGTGGGCTCTGGGGTGGAACTAGGGATGAGGCATTTGAGGTGCAGGATGGGGCTCCGGGCTGGGGCCAAGGGGTTTGGAGTGCAGGAGCAGGCTCAGGGCTGGGGGTTGAGATGCAGGAGGGAGTACAGGCTCCAGCTGGGGCTGTGGGCTCTGGGGTGGGGCCGGTGATAAGGAGTTTGGGATGCAGGAGGGGGCTCCAGGCTGGAACCGAGGGGTGTGGGGTGCGGGCTGGGGTGTGGGCTCCGGGAGGGAATCTGGGTGTGGGAGGAGGCTGGGGTAGGGATGCAGGAATGGGTGCGGGAGGGGGTTCCGACCTAGGACAGGGAGTTTGCGGTATGGACTGCGGCTGGGCGGCACTTACCTCAGGCTGCTCTGGGTGGGTGGCATAGCAGGGCTAAGGCAGGCTCCCTGACTGCCCTGACTCCGCGCTGCTCCCGGAAGCGGTCGGCATGTCCGACCCTTAAGCACGGGATAATCAGGTGACTCCGCACGATGCATGCTGCCTGTGCCCGCAGGTGCCGCCCCTGCAGCTCCAATTGGCTGTGGTTCCTGGCCAATGGGAGCTGCGGAGCCAGTGCTGGGGGCAGCACACAGAGCTTCCCTTATCACCTTTGCACTTAGAGGCCACACATGCCGACTGCTTCCGGGGAGCAGCACAGAGCCAGGGCAGGCAAGGAGCCTGCCTTAGCCCCGCTGACTGGACTTTTAACGGCCCGGTCATCAGTGCTGACCGGAGCTGCCAGGGTCTCTTTTCGACTGGGTGTTCCAGTCGACCCTGTTGTAGCGAGACAACCCCTCAGGGCCCACTCTCACTGGGGCAAGCCTCCTTGGCTTCAGCGCCTCCTGGGTCTGACCTGATGCTGTGAGCTCCCCACAGTGAGCACACCTGAACAGGACACCTGGGGAAGCCTTACATGCCTCCAAAGCGGCCATGCATCCTCAACTTCCGCAGTCAGCAGTGACTCTCAGCCAGTGTTGTACACCAGGAAGTTTATTAGTTGTCTGGAATATAGCATAGAACAGATCTTGTTCACACAGAAAGCAGAAAGATTCAGCAAAGTCCATCTTGGGAAGACCCAGACCCCTGAGCTCTTCCCCTCTGTCCCCTGAGTCTCAACCTGGAGACTGATCAGCATCTAGCAGCCCCTCAGTCATACCCAGTTGCCCCACCTCCATCCTTTGCCTCTTTCCCAGGCAAACTGGTCATCTGGCCTCCACCTCTCTCTTTGTCTTCCAATGCGTCAGAGCTGGCTGACTTCTTGCAGAGGATTGGCCGCAGCCATCAGTTGTAAGGATACAGACTGTCGGGTCATTGTCTGGGCCTAAGCAGTTAGAGGTCAGTAACACCTGCTCTCTAGGGGTCTCTACAATTATCACACACCATTGTCCTACTATCTAGATACTTGTGCAACACATAAGGGAAACTGAGGCACCACACCAGTCATACAAAACATTAAAATTCCCACTTTGTCAGTGGTGTACCTCATCCAGTAAACTCAATGCCCCAACATCCATCATGTGAGTGAAATGAGACAGTCATTATGCTCTCATATGAACTCACGCAGAAAAATGATGAGACATAAACACCATATCACCCCAGGACGAACATTTTGCACAAAACAATCACTCCATATCTGACCTCTCAGTCTTTATCCTCAAAGAAAACCTGCACACCTTCAAAAGCTGAGCTTATACTCATAACTCAGCTAGATACTAAAAATCATGAACTTAAGACATTGGATTTATGGCTCCGTACAACTATCTGTAACCCACTAACCCTCCTTTGTCCTATGACTCTAGAGGTGTTAATTGCACACTTCACATGAATCATTTCTTGCAAAATGTGTTAACTCCTTTTCTGTTCCACCCTTGTATTTAGAGGTGACACAGAGGCCTGGTCTACACTACTCATAAGCTGCCTTACGTCGACCAAACGGTGTAAGCATCTACACTAAAACGTCCCTTCTGCCAATGTAAGTCACCCACTATACTGACTTAATAACTCCACCTCTGTGAGCGGTGTAACGTTTAAGTCAATGTAGTTAGGGTGATGCAGTGTCTGTGTAGATACAGCGTTACTTACATTGCTTGTTACCGCCCGAAGCCCCACTGCTCCAGGGCCGACAGCCAGAGCCCTGTCTCCAGTTGTCAGGCCCGGGACTCCGGCTGTCAGTGCCCCATTTAAATGGGTACAAGCACTCCTGGTGAGGATGCGCACCACTGACAGAAAGAGCGTAGTGTGGACACAAAGAGCCAATTTAATTACTGCAGTAGCTGTATGTCGACCTAACTTAAGTCTACTTAATTCTGTAGTATAGACATGCCCTGAGTACCTCTCCTAGACCCAAAGAGCTCTATGTAAGCTTGAAAGCTTGCCTCTTTCACCAACAGAAGATGGCCCAATAAAAAAAAATTACCTCACCCACCTTGTCTCTCTAATCTATTAATTTGGCAGGAATGAACATTAACAAGGTAGTGTACGGACCAACAGAGTTCCATTGCAACAGAATATTTTAATATGCAAATTTCAGGACAAGAGTTCCCTTACTTTAAAAATGACAGTAATTATAATTCGTATTAATTGATACCTCAATTTGATTCCAGTAACAGACTCTGCAGACAACCACTGAATTCTCTAAGAAAATAAAAGCAACTTTATCAATCAAACCTAAATCTTCAAGAGAAAAACTTAGTGCACCACAGTAAAACTACAGGTTACTAAATATATTTTCACCACAAGCACTAAAACAGAAATGTCTCAATATTTTATTCAACAAAATATTATTTTGTAAAAAAACAAAACAAAAACATTGAATGCAATGGCTAGCTAGGGTTAACACCGGCAGATTTTTTTTTTTAATTTGACAATTTAATGTCTTGTAAATACAGTCTAAAGAAAGTGATCTTAAAAATTTACAACCAAAATTCTGCTAGCAATCTTTTAAAAATCTCTTGTACTGTCACTGATGAAAAAAATCTATAGACCATACAATGTTTAAAGTACAGGAATAAATATAATTTAAAAGCAAATATCCCCTTGTCTGAGATTATTTATTGTAAATTCACATACCAGGCTTATTCCCCTTTCTGCTGAGTAAAAGAAGAAAGACAATCCTCTACCTATGGATGCTTCTAGTCTAAGAATCTTTTTCCACCCCAGAGTTTACATTTTTTCTAATGTCGCTCTGTTACTGATGAAGTGAGCTGTAGCTCACGAAAGCTTATGCTCAAATAAATTGGTTAGTCTCTAAGGTGCCACTAGTACTCCTTTTCTTTCTGTTACTAAGAGCTCTCAAATGTGTGTGTCTGGACAAATTTAATTCAGTCAAAGCTAATCTTTTCCCTTTATATATCAAAGTGTGGGGGGGCGCGGGAGGGTTCAAGCTTCTACAAATCAGTGAATGAGATTGTATCCTTGTGCAACAAGACTTCAGGTTCTTATTCTTGCTCGAAACTGTTTGGAATATTGAACTGATAGCCATAATGTAAAAACAGGGTTGCAGGCTAACCTGGCAATACATGACTATGCGTGTACAGTTTTATATTTCATTGTATAGGGTTCCAGAGCTCTCTTTTAGGAGCTAGAGAACCCTTTGTTGAATATAATCTGTTATCTAATTCCCAGTTTGCTTTCCCTGCAGTATTTTGTTCTGTTTCAGTCCGAGGGTGACCTATGCCAACCGTCCAGCCTGCCAAGTACTCCCTTTCTGACACCGGAAAAAAAAGCTTCAGCTGGGAGAGGCTGAGCCCTCCTGGTGCATGAAAGGTCTGAAATACAACCATCAGAGGGGTAGCCCTCTTAGCCTGGATCGGTAAAAGCAGCAAAGAGGCCTGTGGCACCTTATAGACTAACAGACATATTGGAGCATAAGCTTTGAAGTGGGTGACTACCCACTT